CTACTACTGCCACTACTACTACTACTACTACTACTACTACTACTCCTGCTTCTACTACTGCTACTACTACTATTGGTACTACTACTACTACTACAACTACTACTACTACTACTACTACTACTGCGTCTACTACTACTACTACTACTACTACTTCCACTAGTAGTACTATTACTACTACTACTATCACTACTACTACTACTTCTACCACTACTACTACTAGTGCTACTACTACTACGTCTACTACTACGGCTACCACTACGACTACCACTACTACGACTTCTACTACTACTACTACTACTACTACTACTAGTACTACTACGACTACGACTACGACTACGACTACTACTACTACTACTACTACTACTACTACTTCTGTTACTACTACTACTACTACTACTACTACTACTACTACTACTACTACTACTACTAGTTACTATTCTTCTACTACTACTACTACTACTACTACTATCACCCTATTACTACTTTTACTACTACTACCACTACTACTACTACGACTACGTCTACTACTTCGACTACTACTGCTACCACTACTACTACTACTACTACTACTACTACTACTACTACTACTACTACTACTAGTACTACTACGACTACGACTACGACTACGACTACTACTACTACTACTACACTACTACTACTCTACACTACTACTACTACTACTACTACTACTACTACTACTACTACTACTACTACTACTACTACTACTACTACTACTACTACTACTGCTACTACTACTGCGACTACTACTACTGCTACTACTACTACTACTAGTACGACGCGACTACGATCATTTCTACTACTACTACTATCACCCTATTACTACTTTTACTACTACTACCACTACTACTACTACGACTACGTCTACTACTTCGACTACTACTGCTACTACTACTACTACTACTACTACTGCTACTACTACTACTACCACCACTACTACTACTACTACTACTACTACTACTACTACTACTACTACAACTACTACTACTACTACTACTACTACTACTACTGCTACTGCTACTACTATTACTACTACTACTGCTGCTGTTGCTGCTGCTGCTAGTACCACGACTACTGCTACTACTCTTTCTGCTATTGCTATTGCTACTGCTTGCGCATTGCCGCTAGACCCCAGGGTCTGCGGTGCTCGCGCGCGCTGTGTTCACAGGCGTTGTGGTGTTCACAAGCGCTGTGGCTCTTCCCGGCTGTGTAGCGTGCACAGGCGATGTGGTATTTCCAGGCGCTGTGATGTTCACAGGCGCTTTGATGTTCACAGGCGCTGTGGTGTTCACGGACGCTGTGCTCTTCAAAAGCACTGTGGTGTTCACAGACACGTCGCGTTGATCGGATCGCAAGCTTGTGTGGCGCTCGTCACAGGCACGTCGTGACTGTCGGGTCGCAGGCGATTGTTTTCGCAGGCGCACTGCGGTGCTTACGGGCATGTTGCAGCACCACAGGCGCACCCCCGCCGTGGCGTTACCAGCGCGACGAACCCCCCCCCCAGTCACGCGCGTGACCGGCCCGAATAAACGAACGGGCTCCAGGCGCCGTGGTGTGCACAATCGCTGTAGCGCGCAAGCCCGCTACGATGTAAGCGTGCGTTGTGGTGCGCGCAGTTGCCATGACGCGCGCAGTCGCTATGGCGTACGTAGGCGTTGTGGGCCCAACATATTCCAGCGTTCCTGGGGCCACAAAAACCAATAACCACAATCAATTCAGATCTTGAATTTGATACGTTCGGGCCATCGACGATTTTCCGGAGCTTGGCCCCGTCGGTATTGCTTTCAGGCGTACACGAATTTTGCGGTGTGCGCAGGCGCTGTGGTGCTGAGGGGGTGTTGAAACAGCGGCTGTGGTGCACGCAGGCGCCGTGGTGTGCACAGATCGCGCGAAGTACACAGGCGTCGTGGTGCACGCGGTTGTTATGGTGTACGCAGTCGCCGTGGTGCACACACATACGATTTCTGTAGCAGCCTTGGCGCACAAAGGCAGTGTACAGAGCCCGCGCTGTGTACACGGGCGCTGTGGGCTTGGGCGGCGACGTCGACGACGCCGACGACGACGTAGGCGGCGCGCCTCAGGGGGTGCGCGCCGCGGTCCCAGTTACCCTCTACCCCCTCCCCCGGGTAACGTGCGCTATCCCCCAGAAGTTAAAAAATGGTCTCATCCCGGCTGCTGCCCCGCACTATTTCCGTGCGCACCGCGCTGCGCCAGCGCCCCAGGACACCCGCGCAACGCCACCGGACCACGAGCATTTGCGCATGGGCCCGCCCACACCGTCGGGGGCGACGCTAGGGTTGACCAGCTCAGGGCGGGGCGCGGCGAACCCTAATCGCCAAGGCATCGCCGATTGAGGCCCGACAGCCTACCCCGCCCAGGAACACGCAGGCTCGCCATCGAGGGCCTAACTTCAGGAGGGGAAAACATACAAACACAAAGAGAATCGTCGACTCCCCGGGAAATATTAGAAAAGGTGGAAAGTGGGGGGGAAGACGACATTTTAGAAAATATGGACAGTATTGGGGATCCTGTGATTTGTCTCTAGTTACTTGTGTCCTTGGGTCGCTGCCCGCCGCCCCGAGCCAGCCGCAATCCCCCCTTCCGGAAGTTTCCCCCCCGGGAGGGCGAGCAGCAACGTTCCGAGAAGGCCGCGGCGCCCGAGACATCCTCCAGAGCGGCCGGATCTCAGGGAGTCTCGGCGGATCCTCTCCCGATGTAGTCCTTGTCCTGGCTTCGTCCTATCCTCCAAAGATCTCGGGGGAGCCACGTCGCCGCAAGCATCACGGCTGCGGGGGCGTCCAAGGGGGAGGCGGGCGTTGCTCTCGCCCTCCAGGCGTCGTGAAGCGTCGCTGGGGCGGTGCGGGAGCGCGGAGGCGGTCGCGCCTTGTGCGGCGCGAAGCGCAGCACGATGACCCACAGGATTCTCGGCGGGCCTCTGCACCACTGCCGGCTCTGGGCCCTCGAATGAGGCATTCAAGGAAGGGCCTCGAGCAGGGCCGAGGGTGAGAGAGCGCCTTCCCCTGCAGGCCCCCCCAAAAAAGGGACGTCAAGGTGGTCCAACGCCTCGCCGGTTGAGCCGACGACAATGTGCAAATTCCAACCGTTAGATTGTGTCCAAAGTTTTGGCTTGACGCCAGATGTGTTGCATAAATCTCAGCTTGACCGAACAGGTTGGTTGCGACACTTGACGTCCTTTTGGGGTGAACCCCAGCACTACTTAAGAAGGGCCTCGTCTTCGAGGACCCAGGGGGTTGTCATCTCTTCCTCGGCGGAAGGCGTCGGAAGTAAAACGAGGCCGCCTCCACCTGCGGAAGCTCGGCGGAATGAAAATTCGGCTGCCCAAGAGATGGCCAGGCTTTATAGCTCAAGCTTCTTTGAACCCGCCATATCGATCCAGCCCAGGAGAGTACGTACAGTTGCGAGGTCGATAGCTCTTGATGTTTTTCTGTTCCGCGACGCCGCGACTGAGGGGAGGGCGAGGAGGAGGGCGAGGAGGAGGGCACGGAGGACAAACCGATTGGTTTATTGGTATGTTGAAGCGTTGCGAATCACAGGTTACGGAGAGCGTGTGCAAGAGATGCTCGCCAGTTGCGCGCCAGTCTTCGGCAGCATGCTGGACCAGTGGTTTTCTCAGCAAAAGGTAATGTGTTTCCCTCGAGTTCCGTCGTTGACCCACAGAACCTCGGGGACGCCTTAGGCCCCTCAAAGATCGACGAAGGGCGTGCCCCAAGATCTATCTCAAGACTTCTTATCGTATATACCTGCTGTGCCCCACGATCTCTCCCCGCACGTGTCGACCGTGTGCCGGGCTCCTCGCTGCAACTCTGCGGCTGCAGCCTCGTCTTGGCTCAGAAGCGAGAAGGCAGCCCTGCAGCGCCGCGCGCCTTGCCTGCCCGGGCACCCAGCAGCGCACCACCCGCCATTTCGGATGCAACTCCTGTGCGGTTTTATTCAGATTCGGCGCTGGTGCAGTATATCTCGGAGGTTGATAGACCTTTTACCCTGACGCGTCGATCAGCGAATTGGCCGATTTCGGTTCGCGAGAGGGCGTTGCGGCCGTCGTTTTTGCGGGTCCAGGTCAGTCGGTTTCGGTCCTGGGTCGTTTTCACTAAACGGTGGTTTACTTGATGGAGGTTTGTCCACCGCCGAGTGTCCCTGGTCGAAGACTGGCCTCATCTAGCCGAATCCCGATGAATCTGGCTGATTTCCGCTGAAGCTGGCTGAACCCCGTTGCAGCCGATCTAATCCCGCTGAGTCCGCCTTCGTGCTTCGGCTCAATCCAGTTTCGCAGCCCTTCCTCATTATAAAAAAAGACCTCCCAGAAGTTGCCTCCCAACGCCACCATGGCGCGCTCGTCCGCACTCGCCTCCCTGATCCTCGGTGCCCTGGCCCTGGCGCTCGGCACCGCTGGAACGATCCCGACCCCCATGGGGCCATGTTGCAGTGGAAGTCCATGCCAAGGAACACCCTGCTTGCCTCCAGGGTGCCCTGGGTTTCTTGGGCTTCGATGGCTTTGCGACGGAAGGCATGACGTTCCCACGCCAAAAGCGAAAGGGCCAATGGGCGTCTTGGGGTCTCAGGGTTTGGTTTCTTGTGGAAGGTTTCTTGTGGACTGGCCCCTATTGTATCTTGGCCCCACCGTCCCACCCCCCAGCTTGGGATACGCCCTGTGAAAGCCGAAGTGCACAGCACGCATCCCCATCTGGGGGGGGGGGAACCCAACCGGCGGGACCAAGGCCACCCCCGAGGCCATGGTCGTGGGCGGCCACGAGGGGGTTGATGACTAAGGGGAGGTGGATACCATGGCGTGGGCCATGATATCTCCCCGGGTTTCATGGCGCCTCATCTTCTTTCTTTCCGTCCCTGGGTCGCCCCCCTGGGCCGCGCACGTGCCGCCGGCCATGATCTGCGCCCCCGCCTCTGTGACGCCCCCCTCTCTGGCCACTCCCGTGGGCCTGGGGATCGGTTGAAGCGATGCCCAGGCGCTCCTGCACGGCTACGCCTTCGTGCCCTCCGCGGGCCAGCCCGCGGGCGCGCCCACCCTGCGCGGCGCTGCGCCCGCCGCGGCCGCCGCCTACGGGGCGCTGGCGGCGGCCGTGCCAGAGCCGGCGGCGGCCTGGAGCGAGCAGGAGCTGAACAAGGCTCAGAGGTGGAATCGGGTAGCGATCGTTCTCTTATCCCTTGTTTTGCCGATCGGCGCGGGCTCTCGCACCCCCCCCTCCCCCTTCCATCCATGGAGCAGATCTTGGCTGTTTCTGGCGCCCGTCTCGAGCAGGTGGGGCTTCCCCCCTAGGACGCACTGCTGCAAACAGTCGCAGTGAGCAGAGTTCCGGAGCCAGACCCCCCCCCCCTCCCCCGCCCCCTGCCGCCCAGTGTCGAAACGCTGAGTAAGACAACGCTCAGGTACCTACCGCCGCTGCCCTTGCCTCGTTTTCGCCCTTGTGGGCCCTGTGGGAGGCCCCCTACGCCACGGCTGGCCTTGCCTCGAGATCCAGGTCGGGACGCACCCCAGGAGAGGTCTGGGGTCTGGGGAGTAGCAGTATCGGTGCTTCCAGAAAGGCGGGCGGTCGATCTGGCCACCCTACAGAAGTCGAAGAACAAGCAGAAATCGCATAAAAGTAACCTTTCGGAGCTCCGCGCGGGTTTCTTGGATCGGCGTCGGGCACTCCCCTAGCGGCGCCTCCAGCGCCGCACCTGGCGCGCTCCGCGCGCCAGGGGGGAGGGGCCAGCGCCGATCCAAGAAACCCGCGCGGACCTCATAGGAATTATGTTTATGCGTTGGTCGGTTCCTCTGAGAAGGCCGCCCCAGAGAGGGTCTCGCCCTCGAGAAGCCGAAGGGCTGACATCACTCCCGTGGATGCTCGTCTCGGGGGCCTTCCTGAGGCCCACCTCGGGGGCCTTCCTGAGGCCCACCTGGCGGATCTGTTCGATCCCAGTTTGTGCCAAGTTCGACTACAGTTTGAGGGACCTCCGCGGCAGCATCGATGCCTGGGGAGCCACTTGGCGGGCCGGTGTGGGCCATCACGGGTTCCAGCCGGCCGAGAGGGGGAGAGGCACCATTGTTCACAGGTTTCGTTCCCTGTCCCCCTCTGGGCCGCCCTCTCCAGAGTGGCACTGATTGCCGGCCACCGTCCTCTCCTGCTTGGTCCTGCCGCCTCCAGACCGGTGCAGGAGTGGAGCGAGTGGCTCCAGGAAGGTCCCCGGAACGAGCATCTAGACGTCCCTGGCGGAGGGCCGGCCAGCGGAGGTGGAGCGGGGGCGACTCCGCCAGCAGAAGGTCGGCGGAAGTGAGAGTTTCCCTCTCCCCTGCCGAAGAAGAGACGTTGAGGCGTTCCACAAGGATCGCTCGTCTGCGAGGAATCGAGAATATGATATCTCTTCCTTGGCGGAAGGCCAGCGGAAGCTGGCGGGTGTAAAAGAAGTGCCGCCAAGAGATGGCAACGTGTTTGGGTCCAGGGTTTCTGGAACCCGCCGTCTGTCTTTAGATCCGGAGCTTTTGAGACAGTTGCCCACGCACAAATAAGACCGGCATGGTCCCAGCGATTCCTAGTGCCACGTTGCCCTGGAGGGTCCGGTCGGTCGTTACCTCGGGCGTTGCGTAGGGGGAGGGGGGGGGGCGCATACGCGGGGGGATCGAGGGCTTCAGGAAAGGGAGCCCCTCGGGGCCCACTGGGGCCTCGAATGTGCATGAGAGATGGGCCTTCCCTCACCCCCCGGTTGCTGGCGCGCCCCCCCCCCCGGCACCGAGCAACGACCGATCACCAGGGCCCGTGGGAGCCCCTCGGGGCCCACTGGGGCCTCGAATGTGCATGAGAGATGGGCCTTCCCTCACCCCCCGTTTGCTGCCCCCCCCCCCGCACCGAGCAACGCCCGATCACCAGGGCCCGTGGGTGGCCACACGTCGGGGCTCGAGAGACGGGGGTCGATGCAGGCGGGGGTCGGCCAGAGCGCCGGATCCTGCAGGATCCTGCAGGGCCAGGGTCGCATTGGCCCGGGCTTGGGTGCAGGATCCCGCAGGATCCTTCGCATTGACCCGGGCTTGGGTGCAGGATCCTGCAGGATCCTTCGCGTTGGCCCGGGGTTGGGTGCAGGATCCCGCATGGTTCTGCGAGGCCTGGCTGCCCCGGGTCTGGATGGACCCGGGTCCGAACAGCCCCGAAGACGACCCCGGAGCAAGGCTGGCTTGTTCTTCTCGGTCTTCTTCGTCTTCTTCTTCGTCGCGGGCCTCGCCCGCATGCTCACCGTGGGCAAACTGTGAGGCGGCTCCGCGCGCCTGGCCCCCGTCGGCGGTGCCGGGCCCCTCGATGTTTTTTTCAGAGCCCGTGGGAGGAAGGAGCACGGGCAGCGGCGACGAGCGGCGCGGCTCGCCCGCAGTCAGGCCATCCCCCTCGCTGGAACAAGGACTCTCCTCGGAAGTCGGGCGTGCCCCTCTACAAGAGGAAAATTCAAAAATGTTGAAAAACCAGTCCGGGGACGATTTCTTGATTTTCCTGACTATGATTGAGTATGTTTCGATTATGCATCATTTTTGCCCGAAATCCGCCTGTAGGGGGACATGCCCGACCTCACTCTAATCCGGTTCGTCGTCGGCCTCGTCCTCCTCTCTTGGTCCTCCTGCTCCCATTCCCTGAGCTTGGTGCCATCTCCAGCCTCCGAGGAGTGACGGGAAGAGGCTTCTCCAGGGGGGCTCTTGAGATACCAGGGGGTGGGGGCAGCGCTGGTACTCTGGCCAGGGATGCATCATCTCCCCTGACTTACCTATGCTCCTTCCTCCTCCTCCTCCTCCTCATCCTTCTCCTTCTTGTCCCCGCCTCCCATCCTCCTCGCCCCCCTCTCCTCCTCTCCCCCCTCCTCCTCACCCTGCCCTCCCGCCACTCCCCTCCCTGGAATCCTCACTCCTCCCTCCCCCCCCGCCCCCAGGTTGGATGATTGGGGCCGCGGTGTTGTGTCTCGACCACCCGGCCGGGCGGGACGTAGGGATTGCTACGACGGTTGTCGAGCTCGAAGCTCAACACTATTTGTGGCCCAGAGGGCCCCGAACGGCGCTGCGGAGCAGGACGCTTCCTCGCGCCGAGTCGATCCGCTCCGATTCCTCCCCTTCCCCCCCCCTCCTCTCGCTCCTCCTCCTCTCCTCCTCCTCCTCCTCCTCCTCCTCCGCCTCCTCCTCTCCCTCCTCCTCCTCCTCCTCCCCCCTCCTCCTCCTCCTCCTCCTCCTTCTCCTCCTCCTCCTCCTCCACCTCCCCTCTCCTCCTCCTCCCTCCTCCCCCTCCCCCTCCCCCTCCCCTCACTCTCCTCCTCCTCCTCAATCTCCTCCTCCTCCTCCTCCTCCTCCTCCTCTCCCTTCTCCTCCTCCTCTCCCCCTCTTCCTCCTCCTCCTCCTCCTCCTCCTCCTCCTCCCCTCTCCTCCTCCTCCTCCTCCTCCTCCTCCTCATCCTCAACCTCTCCTCCTCTCCTCCTCCTCCTCCCTCCTCCTCCTCCCCTCCTCCTCTCCTCCTCCTCCTCCTCCTCCTCCTCCTCCTCCACCTCCTCCTCCTCCTCTCCCTCCTCCTCCTCCCTCCTCCTCCTCCCTCCTCCTCCTCTCCTTCTCCTCCCCCCCCGCAAGAGGATCTACCAGCTGGAGGAGGAGGCGGCCGAGCGCGCGCCCGGCTCGCCGAGGCCGCAGCCGCTCTCGCGCGCCGCGCGTGGGGCGGGGGGGTGGCCTTCCCCCCCTCCCCCTCTCCGCCTCCTCCTCCTCCTCCTCCTCCTCCTCCTCCTCCTCCTCCTCCTCCTCCTCCTCCTCCTGCTCCTGCTCCTGCTCCTCCCCCCCCCTCCCCCCAGGGAACGCGGAGGGTTCCCCCCCCTCCCCTCTTGCTCGAGAGGGGTCCCCTTGGAACGTGGAGGGTCCCCCGCTGGAACGTGGGGGGGTCCCCCCCTTGGAACGTGGGGGAGCCCCCCTCTCCCCCCCTTGGAACGCGGGCCCCCCCCCCCCCCCGCTTCCCCCCTCTTGCTCGAGAGGGGCGCCCCTGGAACGTGGGGGGTTGCTCGAGAAGGGCGGAAGGGGGGGTTCGGCTCCTTGTGCTCCCAGGGGGAGGGGGAGGGGGCTCAGGAGATGTCTTATGTGTTTTATGTTTTTGTTGGGGGGCGGTGTCTGGGACCCGCCTAAGGTATATGTTCCATGCCAGTGGCCGTGGAAGTCGCTCTCTCTGATATCCGATGACGGTCTCAGACTGCCCAAGCGTCCCTCCCGTCACCTTCCCCATTCGACGGTTTGTCTTGCTCATCCTCTCCGTCTTCTTCCTCCTCCTCCTCCTCCTCCTCCTCCTCCTCCTCCTCCTCCTCCCCCTCCTCCTCCTCCTCCTCCTCCTCCCTCCTCCTCCTCCTCCTCTCCTCCTCTCCTCTGAGTGTTCATCATCATCATCATCATCATCATCATCATCATCATCATCAATCATCAGCATCAGCATCAGCGCAGCATCAGCATCAGCATCATCATCATCATCATCATCATCATCATCATCATCATCATCATCATCAGCATCATCATCAACATCATCATCATCATCACCACCACCACCATCATCATCATCAGCGTCAGCATCACCATCAACATCATCATCATCATCAGCAGCATCAGCGTCATCATCATCATCATCGTCATCATCATCAGCAGCAGCAGCAGCTGCATCATCATCATTATTATTATCATCATCATCATCATCATCATCATCATCATCATCGTCATCATCGTCATCATCATAATCATAATCAGCATCATCATCACTACCACCATCATCAGCATCACCATCAGCATCATCAGCATCATCATTAGCATCATCGTCATCATCATCATCATCAGTAGCATGATGATGATCATCAGCAGCAGCATCATCATCACAATCAGCAGCATCAGCATCATCATCATCACCATCGTCATCATCATCAGCAGCATCACCACCATGATCAGCATCAACATCATTATCGTCATCATCCTTCTCATGATCATCATCATCAGCAGCATCATCAGCTCCAGCATCACCATCAGCAGCTTTATCAGCATCCTCATCATCACTAGCATCATTTCCATCAGCATCATCATGAAAGCCATCACCATTTGCATCATCATCATCAGCATCATAATCATCATCATCATCATCATCATCAT